GAATTCCGCCAGAATGTCAGCGCGTAATCCGGTGCCGCTGGACTGGCGCGATGGTGCGGACTTGAGCAAAGACCTGGGGCAAGAATGCGGGGTCGAATTAGGGTCGATTGAACTAGTTGACCAAATTAGGCGCCAACTGTCACACACAAGTGTCAAGTGTGACAGAATAACATTGAGGATTTTGAAATTGTGTAAATATTCTAATTTTGTTTTTGGGACTAAAATATTTACACCTGTTTCGTCCGATTCACTCTAGTCTTCCTCCTCCGAGTGAATGCATACAACTCTTAGACGTGTGCATACCAGCAATGTGATGCGACTAGCCGGTCCTTCTGCTCCAACAAAGCTCATCTCACGATGTGCGACGTATCAACGCCAGTCTCCACCTTCTTCATCTCCATCTCGCCAACACCCAATTCCTCATAACACATTGCTTCTGCGCATCAGACACTTTCATCTCGCCTCCTTGAAAAATATCTTTCGGCAGAAAGATGCTGAATCCTCTGACATGTCTGACACTCAGGAGGAAGTAGCCAAAGCGGCTATCCTTGAGAAAGTCATGAAAGGCAGGCAACTCACGGATCTCATGCTACGCTGTCCGTTTCTCCCGCACTTAATCATTTGTTTTTGCGCTCACCGCGGAACAGGCACTATTCTGGACCATGCCGGTACCACCTTGTCATTTTCTCAGCTTATCCTCCCGTTTCATGAACACGCATGTGCATTTAGGTAATATCAAGAGCATCTCTGGCCAATTCAAGCGGTCTGACTTGTGCAACGAGCATCGCTTAAACGTAAGTTCACTCAGGATTGATCAGTATTCTAGGTGGTAGGACCCTTGCTGACGCCCTAATGAAGCCTCGTGATTTACGGAAGATTGATTCACGGATACCGAACCTAGTTCCTACAATTCTTATTCGCAAAGGAGCTGTTCTAGTGCGTTTCACGTATACATAGCTCTTCCTTAGTTATAACGTTCACGTCCAGATCAACATCCTCCACATCCGCGCGCTAGTCAAGGCCGATACCGTCGTGTTATTTGACTCTTATGGATCCAACGATTCTCGCCTTCACTCAGTCTTCCTATACCACCTTGAGGTCATTTTTTTCATCAAACATCTTACGTGTGGTGGCTGACCCTTTACAGCATAACCTGAAGGCCCGGGGTAGTGGTGCGCCTTATGAATTCAGGTGCGTTCCCAGCAGCTTCATCATTTCCGTGCTGTAGAGAGTTTCATAGAGCAATCGAGTCGATCCTTCTCTCCGTTCTTAGTGCGCTAGAAGCCGAGATGGTATTTATCCGCAACCTCGTTGGTGGTCTCTTGGCCGAGCTCGAGGATGATATCAATCATGACAAATTCAAACGTCTGCTCCACTACTCGAGGCGCCTAGCAGCGTTCAAAAATCGGGCTAAGCTGGTACGATTATTTTTTTCGATTATTTTTGTTGGCCCATAGGGTTTGCCTTATTCCCATGCCAGGTTCAGGAAGCGCTGGAAGATGTGCTCGAACAAGGTCAGCACTCTGGCTGCTGTAATAGTCTAGGGTTGAACATGTTATTCAAGATGATGATTTGGATGCTATGTATCTCACTGACAAGAAGAATGGTGTTCCGCGCGACATGCATGAACATGAGGAACTTGAGGTTCTTCTGGAATTTTTTTCTAAGCAAGTAGAAGAAATTGCCAATGAAGCTGAAAACATTGAGGTGGATTCCAATTTTTGCGCCCAATTTTTCTCAGAAACCTCACCGTCCCGAACAGGCCAACGTTCAATCCACTCAGGAGATTGTGGAACTCATTTTAGACTCGAATCGCAATGCGCTTCTCGCATTGGACCTAAAAGTGAGTGACTTCGTAGTACCCGAGTAACGTAACGCTAATGTGTCAGGTGTCCATTGCAACTATGGGAATTGGTACGGGAGCTCTGATCGCAGGTTTATTCGGTATGAACGTTAGTGACCTGTCACAATGTTTCTCGTATCTGCGATGACGTCGTTCTATGATTCAGTTGAAAAGCCACATGGAGGATATGCCCTATGCCTTCATGGCGATGTCAGCGCTTTCCTCTGCTGTTGCACTGCTCGTAGCATGGACTGGCTTGAGAAGGTATCTATCCGATCGCTATTGCGGCCCGTGATTTACCCTTCATTTCATTACACGCAGACTCGCTCAGATACGAAAAGTCGGACTTTCTAATCCCAAACGAGTACAAGATTTGAAAGTGCGCCCCCGAATACCATTGCCCTTGCGCCGGCGAAGTTCTAACGGATGGTCATGATCGTGATCATGATCAACGAAACCCATAGAACGCTTGTCGTCCTTATCTCTGCCCTTGCTTCTCTCCTAACTTCTAACCACATAGACTCATCAACATTTGCCATTCGCGGTGGATCAAATCGTATATCAGCCTATCTATCTCACTCGCCCATCTCCGTACCTGCATGTTTACCATACATACCTCAGACATCATCATCTGTTTATTCTCACTTCCGGTCGTGTGATGTAGAACCCTCCGCGAGAGTCCGGTACCTCGTGCAAGTTCATCAGTTGCTTTGCCCGATTGCGCAAATCTTATCAATATTCCCGGCCATGCACCTCAACAACCCTCATAGATATCAACGCCATACTCTGCACGCATCGAGGATAGCGAAATCCCCTCACCCTTCATCCGGATACAATAGCGGCGAAGCAACATGGAGAAAAAAAATCCACTGTTCTATAGCTATGGTCCGGCGGCACGATTATCAGCATACAAGCCCGTCGTATCAGGCAATTGAAATTAAAGATAACGACGTAGCATTCCTAGTTCTCGAAGTGGTAAAACACAGCTAAAACATCCGCAGTTGTACAAGTATGTACCATGCATATGTGATTCAGAAGCGTCCTGCACAACATGGTGATATAGATGGGCAACGCGTCTGAGTCCGTCCGCAATGCGATTCATATGCAAATTCAATATAAGTAAGTAGATCGGACATAAAAAGTTCTGATGCGAGAGGCACAGCCTACTCGCTGCTTGGCCTTGGCGAGGGCATATCAGGGATAAGATAATGTATGCGGGGATGGTTTCCAAAGCTGCTCTTGGGAGACAGCGATGGGGTGTCGCGCGGTGACGAGGGCAGTGGGCTTGTGCCCTGCAAATCATCGCTGCTGAGAATGGCCTGCGCGTCTAGTAAGCCTCTTGGGTCAGAAAGCTCCGCAGGATCATAGTGCGGCACGGGTTTGCGAGGCGTGCGGCGGGTAGCTGTGCTTGTCGAGGGCGAACGGCTAACTGCAGCTCTAGCAGAAGGTGGGTACTCGTCCCGCCCTCGGGGGGTTACAGGGGAAGGTGGGTACTCATCCCGCCCTCGGTGTTGAAAGGTTGCAGATGCGGGGGAAAGTGGGTCATCCACCCCTCTATAGAGCGCGGGTGTCCGCGGAAATGCGGGCAATGACATGCGCTCCGTACGCAGGAACATGGAGGTGTCCATAGATGAGCGTATTCGAGCTGCTTGTTGCTCAAAGTTGAGTTCAGAGACACGACGGCTTTGACGGGTGTTCACAGAGGTTGGTGGAGGATTGGAAAGAGACATATGGCGATTGTAGGATGACGGAGGGACATACATGGGATCAGAAAGCGTCGTTGACTGGGACAAGTGGTTGGGTTCTATTTTATGCCCTACATGACTTGTGATATCTGCGACAGAGATCTGAATTTCATCGGCCAACTCCGTAGCATCAGAGTGTACGGTAGAGAGGTCGGCAGGGTTGGTTGCCGCCAACGACTTGATAGTTGAGCTATTGGATTTCAATGAACTCCACCTTCCCATGCTCTCCCTAGGATTGTGACGCTGCAAGTTGCCACGAGATGGACGTCTGCGGCGGCGAAAGTAGTATGCGATAGCCAAGGCAGTAATAGCTAGGCCCGCTAGAACACCAATCACAATCCCTGCAATTTTTCCGCCATTCAAGTTGGGGGAGTCTGAGTAATTTACGTCCGCTGTTGGTGATGTAGTGCTAGCTGGCGATGAAGTTGAGGATGACGCTAGCAAGCATGATGTATCTGATCCATTGCTAATGAAAAACGCTGAAGAAACGGCGCTAAGCGGGGTTACGTTGCCCTGTACCTGATACCATCCCTGTGATACATTTACTTGAGGCCATGTCCAGGAGTTCGAAGTGGCAATAGCGTCTGTCAGAGTCATAGAGACACTGTCACCAGCGCTATTTTGGCGGCGAGTAAGATTACCCAGTGAATAGGGATCAAGGACATTGACGTTTGTGATAGATAGTATGAGATTAGCTGATGATCCGTTGTACGTCCAGGTGATGAGCCCTGAGGTGCATGTCGTCATGTTCTTGATGGAATTAATGAGTAAGGTGCTCTGGGTTGGCGAAGAGGAAGGACTTGTTGACGTCATGACATGCGAAGAGGTAGATATGGACGATGTAGTTGTGGATGGATGTGAGGACGTGGGCAACGTAGTAGAAAGAGAGACAGGACCGTCAGCAACGACGAGACCTGCGCATTGTCCAGTGAAGTAAAGCCAAAAAGGCACCAGCCTAAATGCAGCTGCCAGCATTCTTGCTCTGATGAGAACCTCCGAATTTCAGAAAGTGGAGCAAAGATACTCACGAGATCGTCATTTGGACTTGTGAGAGCAGCGATAGGACGAGTTGAACACGTTCTTGACTCTTGAGCGGCTGAAGCCCTCGTCGGGGCAGCGCTAGGCACGAGATGAGCTGTCAGACTAGCCGCTAGCTATTCAGGACTGTTGCCGGATTCCTCTTAAATCGGAAAACAATTGCTTAGGATTGGATTGGCATGGGAGGACTGGCATGACATGCCTGTCAATGCACAGGCCCAATGTTAACTATAATAATAGCGACCACTGGAGTTGGACTCTTAAGCGGGTTTTTGCATCCGTTCCAAGTTCCTAATAATAAGAAGGATGATCATTGAGCATAGGGCTGGGGGATTTATGTCCTTGTCACCACGTTCTCGCGACATGTTAGCACCGGTTCAATGGTCTAGTGGTTATGATTTCTGTCTTACACACAGAAGGTCCTGAGTTCGACCCTCAGTTGAACCATTTTTTGTTGCTTAGGCGAAGCTTAAATTTTATTCACATTATGTAATGCATCGTGTAGAAAAACACATTTGGCAGCGCATTGCCCGCTGGGCAACATGAAGTTATCTATTATCAATCAGCGCTCATAATCATAGTGTCGTGTCTTAACATGAGCACAAGTTAGTAGGTAGGTCACCAGAGTCATCCGATTTGGACAGCCTCCACCCGACCCCACCCGCGAAGTAGATACATATTGTACACGGCAAAATTCGGATTTCCACACTGGATTCTCGCCCTGGTTGCGTTCGCTGTTCAGTTGGAATACCGAAGGTTTCCCAACGGAAAGTTTGACCACCGACATCGACCCGGTCACGGTGACATAACGACATACAGTAGATATGCTCATAATGCATAAGGAAAAAATGACAATAAAAATCGATAACGAACTGATTTTGGACTTATAAAACCATGCATCATGGTGCATTTGTCGTGCATCAGGCTCTGCTCATAAAGCATAGTGGTGGTATATGGGCACATATGTCTCTATCATTTCTTATTTTTTATGCATTATGAGCATATCTACTTGTATACTTATCCTGAAAAATCATAACAGTGAGTTAAGATTAATACTCAACGGGGATAGTTGGGCAGGGGGAGAGTTTGCATCTGCTCACATGTTTCTGAAGCCAAGGAGAGCTTTAAGTTTATGAAATAAAATGACGACAGGAAAGGATGCGCGAGCTCACTAGTGAAGGCTCTAGAGTATGCGAGAAGTCTCTACTTATTCAATGAAATGGACATGGGGCTGAAAGATACGGATCTTCTCGCGTCTGCGTCCACTCAGGAGGATATGCGGAGCTCCAACGGATCGGAGCTTGACTCCAAGGTTTTGGCATATGCCAAAATTCAAAATTCCGTCCAAGACGGGGAGATGCGTTTGAGGAACTTCGATGACGAATTGGATAGCACTGGTAACCGGCAAGTCGGTGGCGATTCGATAGTAAGTACCAAGGGGATGCCCTGGGGTGGCATTTAGTGTGAATGGCGCTAGAGTACCGCGATTGCAAATCAAGCCAACCATATGTGCGAGTAATCAGGTCATTATCCGACTAGTGCGTCCATGGTTAATGGGATACGTGTAATCTTCAACGAACCATGGACATCGGATCCTTCCTTAACGCGGATCGAGACGCTGGTTCTCCCGTTCTCCCGTAGTCCATCGCTTGAGGTCCGTCCTGATGGCCGTTTCGCAGTACCCGCGCTGAGGTTGGGTCGACGAATAGTCAAGTGACACAATAGTTAGGAATCGTACCTCAACCCCACACCTTGTGCTACAATTGACACCGAGGGTGCATAACCCTCCGCGTTTTCAAATTGTCATAAATTATTGCTTCATGCGAATAAACTTCTCCGACACGGCCATCAGAGCAAAGAAAAACGTGGCCTCTGAGAAGAATTGTCACCACATCGTCTCATGGGAGAGAAAGGTAACAACTGTCTCGTGTGTTGTGGTGCTGATTCCTGAATCTGTTGATGGTAGTCTGTGGAGAGCTCCACTGGCAGGGATTGCAAACAGGAAAGCTATCTTATCTTGACGAGGAGACTGACCCAATTTTGCACAGCTCCAAGCAGATATATGGCGTCATTGATTAACTCAAGCTAAATTCGGCTAGTTAACACCCATGTTCATATCAAGCTGCTCAGTATGAGAACTGGTGAAACGAACTAAGTTGGACTGCATGCATGACCATACCCATCGACACGCCATCAATAGGCTGTGCTTACCTCGAGATTTCGCCCACCGGGCCGCAACCCCATGTCACAACTAGTAGTAAACGGTTGTTCTTATGCCACGACAGAGACCCGTACATTCCCTCTATTACCCGCGCGCAGCGAACTGTAAGACGCGCTACAGAAGTGGAGGGATTATCCATATAAAAACTCGGTCAAAGAGCGCTCAGATTTTGAGCGAACGTGTTTGGTTTAGGCCAGGACTTCATTGAATCATTCCGTAAATACTTGTTTTGGTTAACTTGAAGTCTCTTCCACTGGCACCAATCAAATACTGTTGCTTGTCATCGGTACTGCCGTAAAGAAGCGTTCGCTTCAGTGCTCTTGCTACTCCAACCAACCCATGCACATCGGGGTTATCAACATTTAAGACTCCAATAAGGGCAGTTTTTATGTTGTACGAAATGTAAAGATGGCGCTATCTTCACAGTTCGTACAACATTAAAACTGCTCTTAAATATTGATAACCCCAATGTGCCAGCAGACAGAGTCTATATATGCGTGGCACGGTGGAGGAGGCAGGTCGATATTTGTCATCTGTCTGTTGTTCGGTATCACCCCGATGTAGTTTGATGAGCGTCAGACCTCAAAAGATGGACGAACTGTTCTATGGACATCATGGGAACCGTAAAATTCTCGCTGGGGGACCTCGTTTTACACGCATACTTCCCATCCATTTCCCGATAGGTACTGTCCACAAATTGACATTGGTGGCGAAGTTGATGGGCTGGAATACAACAGCGAAGTGCAGCACCGTTATCATTCCCCCTTCTCCCCGCAGTCGATTATCTGAGTTGTCAATGTACTAGCTGCGTGTATCTTTTCACATTTCAGAAGTGTACTTATTCTGCTAGTTATATCGCTGAGACTGACTTGCCACAGCTGAATGAATCCGTAAAGGTCAGTATGTTTCATGTATGTCCTTTGGATCCGGAGCCTAACCGTTGTGCCAAGTCAGCGTCGCGATACGTTGATCTTTCGCGATGTTTCTTCCATCTTACAACGACCCGTGTTCTACCTGCCTCATGAGTCCGCGGTTCCACAGAGAGCACTTTGACAACTCTAATTTTTAAGGCATCGTGCTACCTCTTGTCGGTTTTCCCTGCTCCCCTGGGCGCGCTAATTGATGTCTGGTGTATGTTTAACCCTCTGGGTTTGTACTTGGATTACTCCCTCCCTCCCCCGGCTCATGTTCTTGGATAAACCGAGAACCTGGCAGTTGGGGTGCATCACCCCGGACAGGGCTGATCATTTCCTCGCCGTACTTTGGGGAAGTTTTAGGTTTTTGACATCATAATTTTTCGTACTGAATCTTGATATCTACAGATATTACTAACAGCGCACCAATACCTCTAGCTAGTTAACATCCGGACTCCTTCACCGGCAACGCGCATACAACGCCCCTCTATCCACGCTCATACGACTTCTTGCTTTTACAAGCCATCTGCAACGCACTTTAAGCTGAACGTTCTAGGCGGGCTAGGTTTTAATGTCGATGTCGCCTCCGGTACGCTGAACATCCTGAACTGCGCTGACCACAATACGTCCAGATTTGTGCTGGGCTGTTCATCGGGACTATAACGTGTGTCTCGCAGCATCATATATGGATGACAAGCAACCTTCCTACCATCAGATGCAGGCACTCGCGTGTCTGCTGTCCCGGATCGTCTGCGGCTGCATGTAAAACTTAAAGGTGAAGAGACGCGCAAGTTGGTTGGACGCCGGTGGGATTGGAGTATCGTCGCAAGAGCATGTATCTTACCGGCAGGGTGTTTATATTTTATGATGGCATGGGTTGGTGCGTGGAGGGGGGAGACTTGAGGCTGTTAGAGATTTAGGTTAGTTCCATCTATCAGCGTTATGTGATTTAACGCAACGTTTCTATCCTTACTGCAGCTTGTATACCAGACCAACTTGCTGTGCGTTTATAATATCCTCGATCTCCTGATTGATTCGCTCCTTCTGCCCTGCGGAAAACAAATCCGTCAGGTATTCCGAGATTGAATATAAGGGTCAATGCGAGGGATACAGTGAGCAGCTTATGGTACGATGGTGATTACATGCAGATAATTGCTACAAGCGCACGAATTCGATATCGCGTCCATCGAATTAGAATTGTTGTAGCGTGATAGAGGGCCGTCTGCGATGCCCGCCATCTCCAACTCTCCTTGCAGATGGTGTAGAACCAACCCGTCTAGGACGCTAACAGGAGTGGGCGTGCAATCCATACTTAACTTGCATACAACCTCAGTCTTTCGACTCACGAGACTGAGTTACATACACTCTTTTATAGACTCGTTTCAGTCCTTCTTTTCGCCCGCTCCTTCCAAAATCGGCAAGCATGACTGCTATTCTTGTTCGATATTCGATGTTACTCACTCAGCTTTACATTGCAGGAGAAGCCAAAGTTCCTCGAGGAGTACAAGCTAGATCCTGTAGCAGTTGTTGAATCTACCAAAGGGCTCTCCGAGTTGGAGGTGTTCGGGCTGAAGTTTGCAAATTGCGAGGGGTGGACCTGCTGACGCATTGATGAAGGCCACTGAATCTAACATTGCCAGCGGTCTTCTGAAGACTGAAGATGGGATCGCGAAAGGACGTGGACCGCTGGGCTTGCAGACTACTGTTATTATAATTATGTATCTCATTAGTACGCACATAATTCTGGGACCTGCTCTTTAAATTCTGCTTGGCTTATCTGTATTTTCTCTTTTTTGTTCATTCTATTAGTACTGTAATACAAAATCTATACCCAATGGTCAGCAAGTACGTTTAATAATTGAATACCGATACCAGTCCGCTCGATCATATTGCGTTACCTCTAGCTCAGGGACAAGGCTAAGGGTCTGCAAATGTGGCAGTTTTGCCCTGCAGGTATCTTGTGGACTATGGATAGCTGCTCTGTGTTGCGGTACAGTGAGGAATGGAGGTAGACACTATTCTATAGTTCTGGGATCGAGAGTCGCTAGCATCTGTGAAAATCTTGTGCAGCGAAGATGTACATATACAACAACTTTCCTCATTCTTCGTCAAGAACTATTGCATTGACCTCAATCGACTGCCTTTGTGGGGCATCAGGAGGACATCCGGTATCATGGAAAGCAGAATGTAGGCTCAGCCTCGCACAACCATCCGCACGGCTGTCGAAGATTTTGATGAGCGTAGTTTCCGATGGAGTCTGATATTGACATGATAATCAGAGAAGCTCGCAGGGGTTACTAACAAAGCTCCTC